TGTTACCCAGGCTGGAGTGCAATGGCGCGATCTCGGCTCACTGCAACCTCCGCCTCCTGGGTTCAGGCAATTCTCCTGCCTCAGCCTCCTGAGTAGCTGGGATTACAGGCACGCGCCACCACGCCCAGCTAATTTTTTGTAGTTTTAGTAGAGACGGGGTTTCACCATGTTGACCAGGATGGTCTCGATCTCTTGACCTCGTGATCCACCCGCCTCGGCCTCCCAAAGTGCTGGGATTACAGGCTTGAGCCACCGCGCCCGGCTTATCAGGCCTCTCTTACCCCTCATACCTCATAGCTGCCAAGGCAGGGAATTCTTCCAGAAGACCCAAGGCCACCAGCCAGCAGGATTAAGTGTTATTCCAGTGTCTACCCAGGCCTGACAACATCATGCTCCCAGAACAGCACTGACAACGCTCATAACCACAGGGGCCCACAGAAGGTGCCTCAAGACTGAAATAGGAGGAGCACTCATGGCATAAGAAGGCAATGCAAATTTCATCTGCAACCCTGAGGACAAAGGCAGTTCCTGCAGAAATGTCACGGCTACCTGGGAGCCCAAGTCTGAAGGAATTAGGCAGGGATCCCAGTGAAGGCTCTGATTTTTCAGGTCAGGTCCTAGGATCTCCTAGGTCCAAAGGTGAGGCTCCCCTGCCTAGAGAACCTGGCCCATCACCGCAGGGAGAACTATTTTTAGAACACTTGGAGAGTTTTCAGAGCTTTGACAGGTTGAGGATTGTCTATTCATGGAGGGAGCTTCTGGGAGAAGCTGCCTCTGACTCTGAGGCTAGCTGGATTGACCTTTCTTCCCACTCCCGTGGTCCCCTGAGCCTTCCCACCCTGGATTCAGTGCACGGCAAGGCCACTGCCTTATTTTTGTCTGTCTTCCTCTTTTCCACAGACTGCAGGCTCCCAGAGAGCCAGGCTTATGTTCTTCTTGCACCCCCAACAGAGCACACTGAGCTGGGGGCCGCGATGCTGAAGGCAGCTTCGCACCTCACTTGCTCTGCACCGGGCATGTCAGCTCCGGAGGACTCCACCTGGGCCAGGCCCGACTCCGCCCGCGGAGTTCGCCTCCGTGATCCGCGCCCCGGGCCTCCCGGGCGCCAGAGGGCGCTGCAAATGCTCCGCGGGGCCCCGCGGCCGCAGCCGCCCGCCGCCAACGCGCGATGGGCTCCGAGGCGGCGCAGCTGCTGGAGGCTGCGGACTTCGCGGCTCGCAAGCACCGGCAGCAGCGGCGGAAGGACCCCGAGGGGACCCCCTACATCAACCACCCCATCGGTGGGCGCGTCGGCCGCGGAGCCCCTGCCGCGGCGCCTGGGGGATGGGCACTGGGAAGGACACGTGGGGGGCGTCACCTCGTTGAGCACCGATTTTGTCCCAAGCTTAGTGCGATATTTAAGCCTCACAACAATGGGAGCGGTAGTCATGATCGTTCCCTTTGTCGGTCTGCGCCGAGAGGGTGAGGGACTTACCGAGGACACCCAGCTAGTGAGAGGCCACGAGGGGCCGCCTCTGGCTCTCCGAAGCCCACAGCACACCGCCCGGGGGCTCCCCCGGAGCTGACTTCCTGCTTTGCCCCTCCCCGTCAGGTGTGGCTCGGATCCTGACCCATGAGGCGGGAATCACTGACATTGTGGTGTTACAGGTAACTTCCCCACCTCTCTGCCAGGAGTCTGGGATAGGGATCAGGGGCCCCATTCAGCAGTGGGCCTCCCTTGGCTAACATCTCAGGGCTAAATGGGAACTTGTCCCCAGGCAGCCCTGCTCCATGACACGGTGGAGGACACAGACACCACCCTGGATGAGGTGGAGCTACACTTTGGGGCACAGGTGCGGTGCCTGGTGGAGGAGGTAACAGATGACAAGACTCTGCCCAAGCTCGAGAGAAAGCGGCTGCAGGTGGAGCAGGCGCCCCACAGCAGCCCTGGGGCCAAACTGGTGAAGCTGGCAGACAAGCTGCACAATCTGAGGGACCTGAATCGCTGCACCCCAGAGGGTACGGTTTCCTATGGGCTCTAAGGGAAAGGGGAGGAGGATGCCACCTTCTGAAGGCACAGGTTGCTCAGTTCCCCTGAAAAACCCTGGGCGTTCTTAATTCCCAAATTAATCCTACTAGACCACTCTTGATCTGCTTTCATACGGTCAAAATGCAATAGCTGAGCCACGGGCAAGTTTTTGGGACAGCTCATCCCATCAGGAACTCATGGCCTTGAACCAAGCTTGCCCGGAAGCAGGCAAAAGGCAGTGCCGTCTTTGACATCAGGCTAGCAGGTTTCTGTCGATTCTTACGCAGGATGGTCAGAACATCGAGTCCAGGAATACTTCCAGTGGGCCGCGCAGGTGGTGAAGGGGCTTCAGGGAACAAACCAGCAGCTGGAAGAGGCTCTAAAACGTCTGTTCCAGGAGCGGGGACTGACACTCTGAGCAGTGCTTGGAGCTCTCCAGCAGCACAACTCCAGCCTCGTCCGGGCCGGACAGGATTCACACACCTTTTCTGTGCCTCCCGTGCTCCCTCCATCCTTCCCAGATATCAGAAGCCAAAAAAGACTTGCCTTTTTTCTCAATCTGAAGGTCTCCTGCTAACTAAGCTGAGCCCCATGAGTGTGGGGATCAGATGTACCCATCCATTTCTGATGCACTCACTGCCTCTCCCCGAGTCTTGGGTCTGTTTGCTATTTTGCATGGTGGGATCTCTGGCCCCTCAGGAACTTGAGATTATATAAGTACTAGTTTCTAAGTCATTATGAACAATAAAAAGAACTCTGGGTAAAGGTGTAAGCTGGTACTGTTCTTTCTCCAGCCTCCTGGGTTGGGGACTGGTAGGCTGCATACCTGTCCTTCAGCAAAGCAGGGTTCTAATTGTGTGTCCCTGCCTCACCTCCCTCAGGTTGGGGGTTTAGCGCCTCCGAGCCTGGCTTCCTTATCAGTGAGATGGGTTGTGTAATTATCAGGTTAGATTGTGATGTGCCTGATGGAGACTGACACGTAGATGCTTGTAGGGCTGTTGGCCCCACAGGGTGGTGGGGTGTCCCTTATGCTGTGCTGAAGTGCAGGATCCAAGAAATAGGACACTGAAGAACTGGTGAAGGGCATCTGGGCTTGGGGGGCCACGCCACCTATGAGCGGAGACAGGCAATGCCCCGAACATGCAGAAGCATCTATTTATTAGGTACAGGCAGGGGTAAGGGTAGTAAGTGACGTTATGATCTATAGGCTTAGTGATAGGGCATACATAATCACGTGAGTCACAAGTGAGGGGGCCACCCCATTATGTCACCTGGGCACAGAGGTGGGCCGTGTGCAGTTGGGGGCCATGCCGTGCGCAGTAGTAGAGGGTCATGTTCAGAAAAGGGGTCCAGCCCCATTAGGTCACCGAGACAAGGAGGTGGGCTGTGTGCAACAGGTGTCATGCACAACACCTGTTTTTATCTGGGCGCTGGAGACTTCAAAGCATTTCTAATAGAAGGATGCTGTAAGCCAATGCATTGGGAGCTGACAGACTTGTGTTCTTAAGATGTTTGTGGGAGGATGATTTGAGCTAGCACAGAATCGAGAAAAGACTGACAGTGTACAGCCGCCGTGAGTGGTCACACCAGAGGGGTTCTTCTCCCTCGGTTATTTGCAGTATCTCAGGCCTTCTGTTCTGTGACTGCTCTAGGCATTCCTCCTACTACAAACTACTATATGGTTATGTAGAAGGATTATATACATCAGCACCAAATATGTCGGTACAGCTCCGACTACAGTACCTATATGATTATATAGAAAGATTATATGGAACTAAGTATGATTATATATACATATTTTGTGTGTGTGTGTGTGTGTGTGTACACATTTAGTTTTATTGTAACAAAGCAAGTTGCACAGTTTTAACATTTAAAACTGAACATCATCTTTCCTTTCCAGTGAAACAAAAAGAAAATATAAAAATAAACAGGAACAAAATTACAATAGAGAATGTCAATTCCAAATAAGATCCTACAGGTTCTGCTGATTCTCCCATTGAGTGGCAGGGCTCAAGTCATCATTAGGAGAGAACTTATTTTAAAAGTGTCATCTTAAATTGCAAGGATGTCTGTCAAATGTCACAATTAAACAGCCAAAGGAGAAGCCATGTTGTCAAAATGCCCACTTACCCCACCCAAACATCTCAAACCCACCCTTTGCTGAGCTTCTATAACCCCATTTTTTTTTTTTTTTTTTTTGAGACAG